GAATCTCGCCCTCTTACTTGGCGAGCATTAAATGATTGGACAGGGGCCTGTGCAGGATTCCCCCTTGCTTGTGGGGGAGCCACCTGGAGGTTAGGAGAAGGAATAATGAGGCTTCAAGGGATTCTGGAAATAATGGCAAATACCACTGCTGATGCGTTAACTGATTTGGCTACTGAACAGAAAAAAATCCGGCAAATGGTTCTCCAGAATCGCTTAGCGCTGGACATTCTGCTAGCCTCTCAGGGAGGAACATGTGCCTTGATAGGACAAGAGTGTTGTGTGTACATTCCTGATGTCTATAACGCGACCTGGGACAGAGCAAAGCACCTTGTGCAAGTGGCGAGGGATCATGGAGGAGAAAAAGGAGATTCCTGGTGGAGTAGCTTATTTAACTGGTTTCCAAACATAGGGGGCTGGCTCCATAATTTGATTCGTAGTGCTGTAGTTATTATTTGTGGGTTACTTGTGCTGTATGTTATGATCCGCTGTGGATGCTGGATTGGTACCAAATTGTGTACCATTAAAAAGTAGGTACCGATTATTCTGGGTGTCCCAGGAGTCCCATAGGGAACTCCAGGGACAAAGGGGGGATTGTTGGGACCAGGAAAACAAGGCCTGGTCAACGTTATGCTAAGGAAAGTTAGCAAAGGCTAATCACGGAGGCCTCTGGGTATTTTTGACCAGAAGCAGAAATGTGGTTCAAAAGTGATAAATTACATATTTGTACCTACTGTAAGTAGAATGGCTTGCTTTGGGAACTGGTCAGTAACTCCCTGTTTTTGTTCCTCTTCGCTAATCTTACCTCCCTATTTTTGCCCTTTGTTTGTACCCGACTCTTTTGTCTCCTTGTTCCTGGTACCTGCCTTTTGTGATTGATAAGAAAGTTACTGATGCATTATGAAGCGCTTTTGGCCACAATGTATAGTTGGCTAAGATATGCATAGATATTAAAAGTTTCTAGAAAGGGGGGTAAGTGGCTTGGGTGAAGAGCTTATGACGCGACGGAACTGTCTTTATAAGCCTACCTGTTACTAAAATCGGGGCTGGTTCTCTTTGGAGACGGGCCGCTCTCTATTGTTGTGTGCACTCTTCAATAAAGAGCTTGTGATTGGACTTTGCTGGTGTTGCCTGTCTCTTTGCGGTCAGACAACGAACCGAGCCGTCTGGGTTAGAGTCCCTGACACATGTCTATTTAAAAAACAAGTGTTAGCAAAAAAACCAAGACATAAGTCAGCGGTGCTGGTTCGCGCATGTATTCCAGACTGTGCCATTAAGTCACTGTGTGCTTATGGGCATTCTGTGCCTTAGTTTTCCCAGCTGTAAAATGGGTGATGTGAAGCTTAATAGAGAAAGTACGTTTAGACTTACAGAAAGTCACTGCATGCACATGCATGCCAGTCTCTTAGAAGCCAGACATTTAAGGGAGTTCAAGCTCTCAGGTCCAATTGACATTTAATAGAAGTCGGCTGCAGAACGCTCAGTCCCTTTGAAAGTTTTAGCCTACACTCCATTTTACATCATTTTAATGTCTTGCTTCGTCACAACTGAATAGAGCATGTTGGTAGCAAATGGAGAATGGCTTTGGGTAAAGAAAGTGAATGAAAATGGAACCATAACAAACTTCCCAAAAATGTATGTAACTTATTTAACAAAGATATAAACCAATTAAATACATGATTTTGGTTAAACCTACAGGCTATGTCTACACTACCAGGTTTTTGCGCAAAAACCAGCTGTTTTTGCGCAAAAACTGGCAGAGCTTCCACACTTCAAGCACATTTTTGTACCAAAAAAACCCAGTAAATTGACAGGACAGAGGGCTTTTGCTGGTAGAGTTATTCCTCTCACCACAAGGAATAACTCCTTTTTGTGCTGCTGCTCTTGAGCAAAAAGGCATGCGTGGATGCTCCACAGGGGTTTCTTTTGCAAAAAGTGCCTATTAGAAAAAGTTCAGGTGCTCGGATGACCATTCTGTTAATGGAAATCAGATCATTCTTGCGCAAGAGCATGCAGTGTGGACGCTCTCTTGTGCAAAAGCATATCGCTTTTGCAACGTGCTTTTGAAGTGTGGACACACTTTTGCGCAAGAAGTTTTCTTGCGCAAAACCCCTGCAGTGTAGATAAAGCCACAGTATAAGGCACCAGGAGATGAACAGAGGCCCTGTCCCCAATAAACATACATTTGATTTATATGGAGACAGGCTTCTCCCAGCCAGTGTGATCAACCAAAGGAGACTGTCCCACCTAGAGGTTACTGCTCTGAATCCAATCCAGTGTCATCTTTTATCTTTCCTTTTCTATCTAGGAGTTCTCTCAAAAAAGTCCTTGTGTACATTTGTAGAAGTTGCATCTGACATTATTAGTGATCACTCATTTAACACATGTCAAAATTTAACAGCTGTCATATAAATGGGAACAAGGTCTAGTTGCATACGGAACCTCTACCTTCAATTAGCTTGGTGTGGAATTATGCGGCCATCTATGGATGACTCGACAGATTTTTGGCAGTGTTTAGACCCACTAAAAAACATGGGATCTTATGGGTGCTGAGCACTTTCTAAGCCTTCATTTAGGTGCCTGAATGGGAACTGTTGGGCACTGAGGTGTTTTGGAATTAGACATGTAGAACCTTTTTGGCTACCACCACTCCCCTTTCATCCTTGTGGAATTCCAGTTAAAGATCTCAAAGCACCTTACAAAGATGAAGTCTCAGCATCACAGAGATTGTTTGTCCACAGTCATTCAGCAAGTCAGTGGCCAGCCAGGAATAGAACCCAGGATTCTAGCCATGGAATTCTATTTCCACTCCTTACTGACCATGAAGAATGGCTACATCTAACAGCACATTAATGCTGCTCCATAACTTAAAATGGATCAAGGATGAGTAAACAAAGCACCATCTCCCACTATCTCCGAGCAGAATTGGTGGATTCTCACACAGAATCAATGTGAGAATTAAATATAGGTGTCTGGAAATACATTTACACACTACAAATTAAAATCTATTCTATTTAGCACCTATTAGAAAACGTTTGCCAGATCTGTTCTGACTTATTTGGAAGCAGTGGAAGAGTCAAAACAAGAGACAGCTATGCTGCACCAAAAACCAGAATAAAAACAGCAGGCACTGAATACAAATTAGATGTTGATACAGAATACAGACCCTGATTTAGAACATGCTTAAATCCATTCCTATTCAGCAAAGCACTTAATCATGTGTTTAACTTTCATATACTTAGTACATATTACCACAGTGAACGTCATGGGATTTAACTATGTGCTTAATTGCATTGAATTGAGGCCATATTCATATGGCTATCACATATATTCCAAAGTGTAATCAGACAAATACATGTTTGTTACACTGAATGAGAATGTAGATAAAAATCCATTCTGTTTTACTTTTTCTGGTTTTCATCATCTCACAAATCTGCCTCTTTTAAATTGTATAAAAGAAAGCTGTCAGAGCGAAATCAAATCTTCCCACTCCTGCTGTGATTAAATCAACTGGAATAAAAGGTAAATTAGGAAAGTACACAGACTTTGTTCTAGGCATTGTTGTCAACAGTACGAATATCTACCCCCTTTACAACTATTTTGATAAACTGTCAATCCATTGCACTATGAAGAAATTAATGGCCATTATTGCTAAGAAAGCAATATTTTTATGTAGACCTAAGTACATTGCTTAAATATTTATACTAGAATAGATTAAAGCAATGACAGCACTTTTAAAAAGGTGCTGACAGCTTCCTATCCTACACATATTTAAACTGATGTGTAACTTGAACCAGTAAATGTTTGAAAGCATGGGACAGCTGTAATATTTTCAGCTACAAAAATTGATGTACTTTGAATTAGCAGTAAAAACTAAAATATTCCCCAAATATGTATTGTAATGTTATATAATTTTGTATTAATATGCAGGCTCCACAGTAGTAAAAAAAGCATAGTAAAAAAGGCAATAAAACATGTAAAAAGGCAAAAGGATTTTTTTACTTTTCTAACAAATATCTATGACTAAATGACATTTTTGACATTACAAAAGAAATGTATAACTGCGAATTGTATAACCACAGAAATTATGATAAAAATATTCCCTTTAATTCCTGTCTTTGTTTTGGGCTACAAACCAAACAGGATCTCCGGTGATTACCTTTCCCATGAAAGATTTTACACCCCAAACCATGCATCTATCCAGGAAGAATACTAGCTATTTTTATCTTTTCTTTTCTTCAGGAAGCTTTCAGAAATCAAATCAGCTCCAACAGCCATTGTAACAAAATTCATTGGGTCAGGAGATTTTCAGTCTCCTGATGTTGAGTAGAGCAGAAGAACTTCCTCATTTTATCATCTCCTCTCCCCCTCCTCTACTCTGGAAAGGTCACAGTTTAGCAGACAGGTATTATTCTTTTAGCCAGTTTTATAAGCTTCCCACTTCCTCCCTCACTATGTTTTGTACCATGCCCATGAACACATTTCTCTGCTGCAGCTCATCTTTGTTAGCAAATTCCAAACTAGCTAAATACTGCCTTCCACTATTTCATGAAATAGACTTCTGTTCTATAGCAGTCAGATGGCTTTCACTCCTTTGATCTGCCCTATTATTCCAGCCCCCAAAACTTTGCAATTGGGCTTCCTAACCTGTCTAGAAACTTTGTGGTTGTTGCTTCAACAGAGATTTGACCTGTCTGCAAGTCAACCCCTCACCTCTTTCTGGGAATCCTTCTCATGCTGCTTGAGTTGTTTTTGTGAGCCTTCCAAGTCTTGTTTTAAATTAATTTTGTCCATCTTTGATTTCTGTAAGCATCATCATCCCTTACTGCATTTTGGGTCAATGGGAAGAACCAGCCCACAATATTTCTCTTTTGAAACTAGATCCCAGTGTTATCATCATCAATGTTGCATCTTTTCAACCCAAATGGCTATTCAAATTCCAGGGCCATAAGGGATGTTCCAGCTGGAAGCAGAAATTGACGGAGACAAGAATTTTCTTTGATGCAGTATTGTTTATTTACAAAGAATATACAAAGTCCTGCTCCTTCAAACACAGAAGGAACAAAAACCAAAAGGAGCTGTTTCCAAGTTTCTTTGGCCAACAGATCCAAATGCGTTTTCTCTAGATTTTTACAGGGTACACTGTGCTCACATGCAACTGCTTGGCTTTCTTCTTCCATCTGCATGAGCCTCTTTCTCTGTTGTCATCTGGACTCTTGTCTCATCTTTTACACATCTAACCACAGTATCTAATGGAACCTTCTGCTAGTTTCTGAGCAAATTCTATTAGGCCTTGCTTTATGTATGGGCCTTAAGTATTTTTAACAACTATCTTAAGTGAAGGGTATGTTTGCACATGATTTTGAACCCAACCCATCACAAGGTTTCACCCAGCTTACAACACAAGGGAATACAATACCAAATTAAAGCCTGAGTATTTCTCTGTTTCTCTGCCAAGAACTCTCTCTTCACTGGGCTCGGCATATTAACACATCCTTTTAGAACCAGTCAATAGTAGGTCCTGCAAAACCCAGCCAGCTATAAACGGGAACTTTTTAATGTAACTTTTGGTCAACAATAGACATTCATTGCAATTACTTGCCTCAGAGTACATGATCTTGAGAAAAACCTCTTCATTTCCCCATTGGATCAAAATGCATCAGAATATGGTTGCTTAGTGATGGAGAAAGTTTAAATCAGCAATGCATTCTTTAGTTTCAGTGGAGTTTAGTACCCAATCCTATTTTCCTGTTGTAAAAATCAAGAGTAACTCCACTGACTTGAATGGAGTGACAATGTAGGACAGAAGAGTCAATGTATCCAAGATATTTACATACTGACATCTTAAAGTGTTGCTACAGTATTCTCTGTGATGAAGGGCAGGCTTTTACTATCAACAGTACCTTTAATGAAATAATAAAGATATCTAGGCAAGGCACAGTACATAGTTATTTATTGAAATACTTGAAAAGGCCTGCAATGGAAAAAATAGGTTTGTCATGAGGATATTCTATTCATTAGATTACTCGATCCATTAAAAAAGGTGCTGTCTAACAGTAATTCTAACCAGGTATTTAACCCCCTGTGAACCATGCAACTAATACACACTAAAGTGGAATAAGCACTGTGTACTATTTTAGTTCTACCCCATACACAGCTTTTACAAGAATGATTTACCGTGAAGAATTAAACAGCAACACTTTTTGAATTATAAACATTTATAATTTACAAATTGTTTTCCATCTGATTTGAAAGGGCTATAAAACATAGTGGAAAGTGAACCAACACAGAATTCCAATGCATATGAAGTCTGCCTGGCAGTTTTTAAAGTTTACCTTTTTCTTTTAAAAGAGGAGTCTCTTAGATAGTTAAACATGTCAAAGGTCATGTAACATACAAAAATCATTAGGCCACATCTGCCACAGTGACTTTTTCCTTAAAATATAGTTCAGTGGGTAAATTGGCTGGCTCTTCAGTTTAAAAAGGAAAAAAAAGCCACATATTCCATCTTGTATAATGTGTAGTCCCAAAAAAGAACTTTAGATGCATGTGAAATAAATAAGTAATCCTTGAGCAAGTATGATCCTTGAGTTGAACCTACTCTATTGAAAATGAATTCCAATTATACACTCTCACTATGATGAAACACCTAAGAACAGTATTTCTAATAACTTTTTGGGAAGCAATGTCTTAATATATACAGATTATTTACAACATTCCTTTTTGGCCTCACAAATTAGGCCATTTTTAGTTGGCTGTTACAATGCAATTTTTTCCACACATTATGCAATACTGTAGTTATAGCTTTCATTTAAAACAATCTTATGCATGAATTACAAATATTAATAAAGTAACTCTGCATATATAAATATCTCTAGCAGAATTTAAAGCATTCAGAATGTACATAATTTTTTTTTTAATTTGGTAGGGGCCAGATACTGCTTTTCAGATCATCGCTGCTTTAATAATGCTCTGTACATGGCAAAACCCAAAACTGCAAAGACTGTAGCACCAAAACTTGCTCGAAGCCAAAACGTGGAGCTTTTGAGGTCTGCTTGTATCACATGCCTGCAGGTTAAAAAGACAAAGAATGAAATTAATTTCATGACAAGAACGTCCAGCAATTTATGTCATGTCAAATAAAAATCTGCTTTGGAAATATATTAACACTTGTCACACTTAAGCAGCACACTTTTAGGGTTTTGAAGGTTTAATAAGTGCAAGCCTTTGGTACTTCTCTTAAAGGCTTAGGACCGGATGTTGCAGCCCTTGATCATATTAGAAAGTCCCACTGAAATCAGAGACTATGCAAGTGAAGTGGGCTAGAAGATCAAGCCATTAATCAGCTGGGAATGGCAGGATGGGGTGGAACTGACTTTCTCTGAGAGCAGCAAAAACTACTCTACAAGGGAAAGCTGCTGCAATAATTACACACCCAGACTGAGCAAATATTCCAACACTGTGAAGTACTGTAAGGTAGTATTTTAAAAGGCTGTTCACATATTTCTGCTTTTCAGAATTAAACCTTCCAAGCAACATTATTTAAAGTGCTGATTCGCAAGCAGTTGACTGACAAGTGTACTTCTCCAAAAGCCAGAATCACAACAATGACAACTTGCAAATCCTTCCCCAATACAGAATCACAAAAATCAAGAGATAAGCAATTCATCACAATACTACATTGAAAACTGTTAAGAGAATTACATGCTGGTGGAACAGGCAGTGACATTGACATGAACAGAAAAAGAATCAAGGCAACATAATAGGATGAACGTGATTGGATGACACAAAAAGCCACATTATGCATGACAAGATAGAGAAAGCCAATGACCCAGTATCCCTGATACCACAAATAAAGTTTGTGAGCATGCTCAGTTAAACACTGCTAGCCATCTTCACATAGTCTCAAGTATGACAGCTTACCATAAAGCAGTAGATAAAGTATTAAAAATTATTACAATGACCTTATCTGAAAGTACTCCAAGTTTCAAACTGATTGTTATGGAGATGATTTAGAGAACCTACATATCGTAGCTGAGTTTATATAGTTCATACTGGTTTAGAACTATATGGAAAAGAATAGGTTATTGGTTGAAAGCTTGAAAAGCAGTTACAGCACAAGGACTATACAGATATTCTGTGCATATACCATGTGCAAAATAGAGTTAGCTGACCATACAATGTGAATTACAGAATTATCATGCTGCTTTATAAAACGTGAATTGTGTATTTAATGTTACTGCAACATACAAGCCAGTGTAAAATACCATTTAGCAGACATTTACTGTACATAGACATTTGCATACTAGAGTATCGCATGCTACAGAACAGGCACAGATTCTTCTGTTTATCTCTACTGAAGTGAAATACAGCTTATGAATAACCACTCACATCTGCTCTCCAAATTCCTATTCTCATTCAAAAGTTCCCTGCAAGGTTATGAACTTGAAACAGACCAAACTCATGGATTCTTGCAAGCATTAGTTCCCACCACTAATTTCTACAAAATAACTCAGAATTAGATGTCAAGTAGTTTGGGGCGGGGGGGTTTAAAGGGGAAAATGGCAAGCTCACGCCAATTAGGATACTGTTACCTGTCTTCAAGTAACTGTGGATCAAGAGATGACTCCATGAAGATGGAATCTTCCACAGAGCTGACGGCGTGCACCTGGTGAATAATACTGCTCTCCTCGTCTGCTAACAGCATGGCACCCAACTCATCTACATGGAGTCTTAACCTTTTTACACACATGCACAGTTTGCAATTCATACCAGGGCTCAAAACAAGAAGCGACTCAAAGTATGCTGTACATACACCTCACACAAGGTATTCAGCTACTAATTTGTTTTTATCTACTCTCTTGGTCTTGTGCAGTTGTTAAAAACTTAATATATAAAACCAGGAATTTGTTCAATGACTAACTAGGTAACTAAATTAAATGCAAAAAAGGGACATGGTTAAACACCTAGGAGGTTATAGCATTAACTAACAAGAAAAAGGAAGCTGCTATAGAAGCTGAAAACCCAAGAAGCATTTTATCCCAGGATACTGCAGTACACTTTACACTAATCACTGTAAGTTTGTCTTCACTACCCAGACACACACAAATAGTTATGTTCTTAACTCAAGTTAGCTAACTCAAGCTAAAATAGCAGCAGACACACAACCTCATCTTTTAACTCAGATTAGAAGCTTGCGTTAAATCTACAAGAGGTCCTGGGGTTGAATTCAAGTTGCTAATCTGTCTTTCTAGCCAAACTGCTGTGTCTTTACTGCTATTTTAACCCAAATTAAGAAAACTTTTCTTTGATGAAGACATACCCTAACTGCAGACTTCATCAAAACAGACTACGTAAATACTAGAGTATTAGCTCTAATTCTGATTAATTTCCTTTATTGTTGTTGGGTCAAGTCGTACTCTAAGAAACCGTAATCTTAAAATGTTTTTGTGTAGTGAATATGTACCTTAAAACCTCAGTTTCAAAATGCCTTAAAATACAGAATAATGGTTGTATACACCAGCTTTGAAGGGTGCATATTTCTGATATAATTAATAGCGCAACGCTTTTTTAAATTGCCTGACAAAACATATATATTTTAAATGCACCAGTTTAAAACTGTGAATCTATACTTGTTTTATGTAGATGCATCTCATCTTATCTACTGAAGCTCCATCTATCGTTCAATTCTATATTTGGCCTTTTATGTTTCTGCATATGTGAACATTTAATAAGCATTACGTAAGAAAGTTATTGAATATGGGTAAAAGACATTAAGGTAGCCTCATGATCATGCCAAAATCCTATTCCCATGTCAAAGCATCAGTGAATTTAATGACTCACTCATAACATAGCATTTTTTTCCTCTACATTTAATCTCAGGCAAAGAGTAAAGCAGCTGTTCCTTTAACTAAATTAGCCTGACCGAACACCAAGACCCAATCTCATGCCCACTGAAACCAATGGGAGTCCTTCTAGTGACATCAATGGACACTGCATCTACTGTACTTTCTGGCAGAAATTCTAAGGGAATTAGGAGTCCAAAATTGAAATTGAGTGGGACTGGGATATCTAATTCCTTTGGGCTCCTTTAAAGTCCCCACCTTTACTTATTCATGTTTCATAACAATCTGTGTAAGAAGAAATGTAATCTTCCCACAGCTCAGTGCCCTACTCACATCTCTTATAAAAAAAAGTGATAGAAATGTAGCCTGTTAGTCTGGTGTAGCTGGAACAAAAAACAGGACTATGTAGCACTTTAAAGACTAACAAGGTGGTTTATTAGGTGATGAGCTTTCGTGGGCCAGACCCACTTCCTCAGATCAAATAGTGGAAGAATTTTCTTCCACTATTTGATCTGAGGAAGTGGGTCTGGCCCACGAAAGCTCATCACCTAATAAACCACCTTGTTAGTCTTTAAAGTGCTACATAGTCCTGTTTTTTGTTCCTCATATAAAAAATAACTCCATACAACAAAAAGGGGATGTTTCATTTCTGATATACCTTTTCAACTTTAATGTGGTTACACTACATGAAATTTGTCCCCTAATGTACAGCTTCCATATTAGTATCAATGAAAGCTCTACATTTTAGGAGTTCCTTCTAATCTTAAATACACAGGTAAGACAATATATATTAAAATAAAATTTCAAAATTGTAAAATGCTGTGTGTATATTTAGGAATATATATTATACGACTGATGTGTCAATTAGCCAATAATCAAAACTTCCAATAACTCCAAGGGTATGTCTAGACTGCATCCCTCTGTTAGCAGAGGGACTAATTTGCATTAAAATGGCCGCTGCGTTTTGCCGACTCAGCACTTTGTTGTCAAAAAGCTGTAGTCTAGAGGGGGATCTGTCCAGAAAGAAAGCCTTTTTCGACAGATCCCTTATGCGTCCTGCAAGGAGGTTTACAGGATCTGTCGAAAAAGGCTCTCTCTCTCTCTCTCTCGATAGATCCCCCTCTAGACTGGGCATTTTTTATAACAAAGTGCTGAGTCAGCAAAACACGGTGGCCATTTTTATGCAAATTAGGCATGGAATTTTTAAATCCCTGCCTCATTTGCAATGTCAACTTGCCTAATCTGCATCCCTCTGCCGACAGAGGGATGCAGTCTAGACATACCCCAAATGAGGGAAGAACTGGTTCCTATCTTTAACAAGACAACAAAGTATATCCTAAATTAGAACTAAAAACGAGTGGAGTTTTGTCAGACTTTGCTGGCTAGTAATAAGATTTAGCTATTCAACTTTTCAAAATAAGATTTCTGTGTTAAACACACTTTTTCCACATTATATTTAGAAACAGAACTGAGGTTTAAAAAATTTGGAAAGAAAAAGCACAGAACTTTGATTCAAATTGCCCTTAAACACTGAGGCAAGTAGCAGTTTTATCACCTGATATTTTGGTGACACATCTGTTGCAATCTAGAAAAGTGTTTCTTTTAACAGACTTTAACAACTCACAAGAAGTTAGTATTGCACACTAAGCAAGATATTAACTGAGCATGCCTATTATACATGAGAACTTGTTGAGCTGTGAGCCAATATAGACAAGCTTTTTAATCAACATTAGTAGCAGAAGAATTTCAAGTTTGGGAAGATATTATAAAAAAAAAAATCTTCAAAAATTATCCACATGCTAATTGGCAAAGAATATAAAAAACGTAGCAAATGAGGTCAACACCACCTTGTCATGACGAAAATGGACCAGCCATATGGATACTCACACCAAATGATAAATAAGTTAACAAACAGCAGGCAACAGCAGTTTACTTTGACAAACTATGTTTTAGCCACAAATTGTTAAACAACTGAATTTAAAACAAAAAAGACCATGCAAGTAGCTGCAGCTTTCATTAAAATATTACACTTAGGCACATAATTTTCTAGTTGTAAACACATTCTGGATATTACAATTTTTTTCCTCATTAGGCATCTACAATATGAAAAATAAAAAGTGCCGCTTAGCCCCTGAGGCAATGTGAACAGGCAGTTCAAGATATTCCATTAGTAAAACAGTGCATTATCATAGCTTTGCAAAATTATGCTTGGCTAGAGCCAGTAATGAGTAGTAGGATTTTCATCAATTTCAATAAAAGAGCATTAATTTAGATCAACATCATTGTAAAAGCGAATACATTGTAAAAGCGAATACATATTTTTTAATGCCTATATAATTTAAGCAATTTTTATGGTGATTTTGGAAAGGTGTATAAATAAGCTGCCCAAAAATGTAAGTGCACTACACTATACTGGATTCAGAGAACTATTTTCTCTTAACAATTTTTTTAAAAGAATTTTTTTAACTAAAGCCTCACTCCTATTTCCACTATTTCAATATCAGAATCGAAGTACAAAACTTACTGAAAAAAATCTCCCTGATGGAACCATCGTTATTCTCACACACATGAATCAATACAAACATCTTGTTTTTAATCATAAATCCCAAATGCCAGAGTAAAATGCAGCCATTGTATAAGAGAAACAAGATGAATGGACGATTTAAAACCAACAAAGCAGAAAGAAGAAAACAAAATCTCATTGAGCATTCAAAATAGTTTGCTGAATAGCAAAAAAAATGCAAATTGATGGTTAAAAGAGTTAGAATTACACACAAAAATGTTTTTAAAAACCGGTAAAATAATGTAATAAAAAGAGAGTGAATGCCAGCCAGACAAATGAAAATGAACACCTAAAGGAAAGAACAAATTAAAAATATAAAAATACTACAACATCCGAACAAGTGCTTTCTCTCACACATGCAATTTACAGTGCTTAAAATGCAGTGCTGTCTTCCTAGTGAAATCTACAAACAAGGATCCTGGGTAGTTCAAACCAACAATTCTGCTTCTCCATAACAGATACATCAAATGGATAAATATCCACATTTCTATCGATTTGTTTTTTGGCTAAACTAGGATTCTTTGGGGATTTCCATGGTGATGGTCAGACTAGGGTTGCTAGGTGTCCGGTTTTGAACCGGACAGTCCAGTATCTGAGCTTTCTATTCGGGATACAAATTGAGAAAATATAAATGTCCAGGATTTTCTAAATAAGATGTAATGTCAATTGAGAGGTAATGTCAAATGTGTCTGGTATTTTTGTTAAAACCATCTGGCAACCTTATGTCAGACAGACATGAAGTTGAATATAAGTGGAGCCAGGATTCTTCATTTGCCCAAAATCATTGATACTACCTTAATCGCTGGGTTTGGAATATTAAAAATGATTATGAAATTCTATTTTTGTTATGATTATATAGAACATTAACTAGCAACACCAGCTAACAATAGCAATTAGGGGTTAAATCTGAATGGATTTCAGTTTATATTAGTCATGCAGGCCTCTTCGGAGGGCTGTTCGGAGGGATGCTATACTCACAGTAGCCACTGGAAGCAGCGAGTACATGAGAGAGCTATACTGCAGAATGACCACTGCGGGCAGCCATACCACCAAAGGAGTGGCCAGCTGGGAATAGGGCTCATCATCTTGCCTGCCACCCTACTGGGTAAGTGGTGCCCGTGCCCGGTAAACAGCCTCTGCTAGCTTCCCCTGCACTGGGAGGGGGAATGGAGAAAGCCTTTGGCACCCCCCTCCAGAAAGGGAGGAGCTAAGAGGAGAGGGAAGAGACCCTCATGGCAGCTACCCCAGCCACGGGAGGACCCAGAGGTAGGGTTGCCAGGCGTCTGGTTTTGAACCAACAGTCCGGTATTTGAGGGTTCTGTCCAGGAAA